AAAAAAAAAAAAAAAGCAAATGTCAATTAAAAAAAAAAAAGCAATGTCGTATTCATTGAATGGCAGTAAACCATTTGAAATTGTTGTTTTTCTTTTTTTCAAATTTTATGGTCAATTCGCTTTTTTTTTTGAAATGAATAAAAAGCTTGAAAATATTGTTTGATGATCGTTTTGAACTGATAAGCTTCCTTATTTCGAATTTCATTTTAACCAATTTAAATTCTTTTTTATCAACTAAATTTTTATTGGATCGTTTAAATCAATCAAACGTTTTCGTTGTTCATTTCTCATCAAAAAATTTCATTCCATTCAAATATAAAATTTCCAATGTTCTTTTGTCGTTTTTTTTCCTTTTGGCGAAAAAATTTGAATTTAAAAATTTTTTAAACTATTGAATATCGCCATAACTTATCACAAAATGAATTAACTAATTAATTAGCTAATTGCTAACTAATTGTTTCGTAATTAGCTAATTGCTTGCAAATATTTACATAGCAATTAGCATTTTATTCTTAGTGAAATCTTCTAATATTTTACACTAAGATAAACGCCGTTGTTTGTTAATTTAATAAACAAAAGTTCAATTTATTCCTCTCTATTGTTTAGCCAGTTTTTAAATTTTATAAATAAATTAATTTTAAATTATATTTCAATTCATATCTCTTGTTTATATTTTCATTTCCTTCTTTAAGTGATAAGTTGTAAGTGATCGTTAAATTTAACGATTGCAATGTAATTATTCATTTCTATGCTTTATAAAATCTTATCTGCATAATTACACCATTTCTCAAAATTAGTACTAATTTTAATTTTATAAAAATTTATTTTAAATTAAGCCAAAAAGTTTTTTTTTAACTTTTGTTGATAGGACTCTTATATCTTTCATTAATTTCAATTATTAAATCATGTTTTTAAATAAATTATTCCAATTTAATGAATACAGAAATTTGTGTAAAACGTTTAAATTATTTCGAAATTGCGTGATCCATATGACGTACGTAAGATAATTTGAAATATATTAATGTAATTATTGCTGTATGCAAATTATTGCTAACAGATCTTCTAATACTATTGCACCAGATTAATTACACCCAAGTTTGACTTCATGTTAATTCGTCTAACATCGTTCTCTAATTAACATAATTTTCAAATTAATACTACTACCAATTTCGTCACTTACAATTCAACTAAGAAAGAATAATTTGGTATAATTAGTTTGAATAATTAAGCTATCAATTAGATCAATTAAATAAGTAAATTTTATTAAAAAATATGAGGTGATAATCTGACTTATACAATGCGGAGAAATTGCTTTAATTAAAAGAAACCAATTATACTAATTATATTAATGATAAAATAATGCAATTAAAATTGGCACAATATTTTTTGGTGGATATTTTAATAATTTAAATAAAATATTATATCGAAATGAAAAATTCAAAAATTAGAAAATTAGCATTTACATTAAAAGATTTTTTCTTCTTTTACTTCTTTCTGATAAATTGAACAAGAAAAAAAAAAAAAGAAAAAGGAAGGAAAAATTAATTTAGTGATAAGAAAAGATTAAATTCATAGTATAGCCTAAATGTAAATGGGAAGAAAAATGAAGTAATCTGTTGGATGAAAGCTAAATGAAACCAATTCGGATGGATAAGGCAATTTTTATAGTCTGAATATATTATCCTCTGGAGAATATTCAACAACCATCCATTTCTTTTTATGACTTAATCATATCTATTCTTCCTCAAAATGATTGCCTAATCAAGTAGTCTTTTGCATCAATTCATTCCATTTCTACTAAATTTTTTCAAAAATTTTAAAATTGGTTACATTTTAGAATTTCTAATTTCATCATATGCAAATAATTAAATTGACAATAAAATAAAAAGATTTTTCGAAATATTTCAACAATCAAAAAAAAAAAAAAATGAATGAAATGTTACTGATAATGTAATTTAGCATACATTAGACAAATTGATAATATTATGTTTAATTTAGTGATAAATTATCTTTCCCATTTTTTGTTTATATATTTTTTATGAATTTGATAATGATGTTTGCATTAACAATTAATCAAAATCAATTTAAAATCAAGATATAACTAAGATAGTTTTTTATTATTTTGAAAATATATCAATATATTAATTTAACAAAAATTATCCATCATTTTTAATCTGGAATTTTTGCAAATGATCAAATAATCACTGATAATATTGGTGTTGATAATAATTTACTGATAATCTTGATAATATTAGCATTGAAAACAAGTGTTTATTTCGCAAATTATCTCTCAACAATAATCGACACTAATTAATAATAATAATAATAATAATAATAATAATAATAATAATAATAATAATAATAATAATAATAATAATAATAATAATAATAATAATAATAATAAAATAATAATAATAATAATAATAATAATAATAATAATAATAATAATAATAATAATAATAATAATAATAATAATAATAATAATAATAATAATAATATAATAATAATAATAATAA